TGTTTCTGCGCCGTGGAGGCAGCTGGGTTTGGGTTTGCTGGGTGGGTGCTGTCGCCCTGCAGACATCCCAATGAGCTGTTTTGTTTTCAGGAGCTGCTTCCAGGGTTTCTCTTTCAAAGGTGGTGAAAAGCCCAGAGCTGCTCCGGGAGCCCAGGAGGAGCTTTTGCTGCTGGGGGGTCCTGAGCACGTAGGGGCAGGGGCTGTGCCCTCCGCTGATGGGGCTGGTTTCAGAGCCGTCAGCTTGAGCGTCTCAGTGAGGCTAATGAGCGTGTTTAGCTTTGCACGTAACTAATTTCTCTCGCAGCGTGTAATGTCTCCTGGGGGAGCCGGGCTGAGCCAAGGTACAGGACGGCAGCAAACGCCGTCTGCCGAAGTCTCGGAGGGATCAAGCTGCTACGCGGAGAGCTGAAATGTGGCTGAAAGCTGAATTTCCTCCTGAATGGTGATGAGGGTGGAGCGGCCTTTTCCCTGCTTTCCCTCCTTTCCTGTGGGCAGGTGCCCGGCGGGAGGCAGAGACAGGACAGTGCAGAGCTCTGGGGTGGCACAGCTCTCCCGGCTGTCCCCTGTCCCACGCGGTGTCGAAGGGACGGACGCCTGGATGCGGAGATGCTCTGAAGATGAGAGGCGGTTCGGGGACCTGTGCTGGCCGCAAAGCGAGCGTCTAAAGCCCCTAACCCTGTACACATGCAGCTCCTCTGTGCGGGAAACCTGGTTTTGCTGAGAGGTGGTGGCTGAGCCCCCTCTGCAGCGCTGCCCTTGCCCCCTGTCCCGGGGACGCTTGTGTAACTCGGGGATCCCGTTACTGCCCACCGCACGCCCGGGCTGCTGGGCTCGGTGCTGCAGCCCTCCCCTCCCCTCCCCTCCTGCTCCGGTGAGAGCCGAGCCGGTAGCGCAATGCTTCCCGTCTGAAGTAATGAAGAGTTTGATCTCAAAGGAGCCCTCCTTTGGAAGGGGAACAGGAGATAACAGATGGAAAAGCTGAACTGAGAGCAGCTGTGGGTGCCAGGATTTTGCAGTAGGTTGTCCATCTGCTGCCATCTTCCCCTCTGCAAAGGGTTAACTTTGCTTCTGCTCGGGACTATTTTGGTTGCAAAATCTCCTGCTTCTGAAGCTGGTACTGTCAGCTGGGGTTGGGATGGAGGCAGTTTGCCCTTCCTGACCCTCAGGAGACACAAGGTGCTTTTCACATCCCAGCCTCCTTGTTGCAAGCCAAGAAATATAAATCTTGCTGCAGCCGTAGGCTGCCCTGGATACCAGCGCTAAATTAGGGACCTGAGCGGTGTCACCACACACACCCAAATTCATTGTGGAGTTCCTGTGACCAGAGCAGCACCTATCACGCCAGGACATCACCCACCCGTGGTTTCATTGCTGACTGCTGCCGAGGAGGGAGCAGGAGGAAAACTCATCGACTGGGAGCTGTCGGCTCCCACCTAACGAGGAGAAACTCATGAGAAGCTGGTGGAAGTGCTACCCTCACCCTGCCTGCACCAGAACCAAACCCTTTCCCACCCCTGCACCGTGCTCGGCACATCCCCGGCTGCACGGGGCTCAGGGGGCCGGTGCTTTGTGCCCGGGCCAGGACGGAGGTTGCGTGGGTGCAGCCGTGATGCCTGGCCCGTGGGTTGCTTCTGCTGTGGTTTGGACATCGCCACGTCCCTCCTGCGTCCCCCTGCAGCGGTAATGGCCTTCCCCACTCGTTGCATCTGGCCTTCAGCTTCCCGTCGTGCCGCTGTCACCTGCCACCGGGAAGGTTTCTTAAATAGACCAAATCATTCTCTTAATGAGGCTTAATTTGCTCCTCTCCCAGCCGGGCGAGCAGCCTCTCCGTCCCGTGGCGGCAGGGAGCGGAGGG